ATATTACATGTTTGATGAAATGTTTCATATACAAGGCAATACATACTAAATCTTTCTTCAAAATATTTTTTATATAAAATTCAGAATTTATTCACAAATATGACAATGAGTTCAATAATGAATAAGAAAAGAGTTCAATAAATATGTATCAAACCGACAACCACAGTCCGAATAAAACCAATGGAACAACAATAGTGGGTACTATGGATACACTCCTGGATATGAATCATATGGTTACCTCCTGCTACTGCTGGTGCTCAGGATCCAAATATGTACTATGGAGCTTCCAACAGCAGCATCAGGGATACACTGGGTAAGCCGCTCCTTTCTGTTGACTTCAAATGCGGGGTATGACAACTGGTGTGCTATTCGAGTGTAATATATGGCTAAGACTATTACTTTGGATCCTTCCTTTAGACTAGGTAAGGCTGGTAGTTACTTGTCTCATGATTCGGTGTATTGGGACTAATGTTCCTTTTCAGTAGCTTAGTGCATTTGCTTGACTGCGTGTCTCTTTTCGTAATACATTTTTCAGTAAAAAAAATTGAGACTAATATTACTCTTTTGTGTTTATATTGTTGATATTTTTGGTTGCAGTTTAAATTATACCATATGTTCATTGTTTGAATACAAGTCATGTTTTCTTCTTCTCCTACAAGTTGTTTAATACAATGATTTTGTATATCTAGGCATTCCACCTCATTTTGGGCAACTTGTATTTTTTGGAACATAGAGATAGAGTGACCAGTTCAGAAAAGGTCTTCTTTAACTCACTCAGAATGCTCCTACTCCTTTACTATAAGCTTGATAAAGGTTGTCTAATTAACTTTCTTTAGCTTCTTAATTTTGGCACTAAATTTGCCTTTGATATGATATGAATGAAAGTCGTGTTACAATATTGTCTATTTATGTACTGGATTGCTCATTAATTCATTACTTGCAAGTCGAAAACAGTTTAAGGATTAACACTGTAATGTCAATTGGGTGCAGAATCTTAGAAAATGTAAATCGGGTGGAGTACACTTCCATGAATCGAAAGAATGAAAGGTGATGGCCATTTCAAGCGCAAAAGACGTGCAAGAGACCGAATTGCTACCACAAAGGAGTGTTCATTTGCTGGAAAGAGGAAAATTCATTTGTTGGAGTGTTTTTCATTATGTAATAAGATTTTGATTATTGACATATTGGTCATGCATATTGGTTAGGGCCATTTTGATTCTCCTTTTTTTTTAATTTATTGTATCTTAAGAGAATGTCCTAATTCTAGGGGTGATCAATAGGCTTTGCCTTTGTAATCCCATCTATTTAGTTGTTGATTGGTTTTAATATCTTATTAAATGTTAATTATGTTTAAACAATGTTTACTCTTCCATATTATTTTTATCTTTACTTACTTAAAGTTTACATACCCAAAGAAGAAATAGGTGTGTCTGCCCAGAAAGAAGGGGCAGACACACCTATTTTACTTACTTAAAGTTTACATACCCAAAGAAGAAATAGGTGTGTCTGCCCAAAAATAGGTGTTGAGTGTGCTATGTTACCCGACATTTTATGTCTAGTTTATAGACACTTTTACTATGCACTTTACTCCATTCTAGTAATTATTGCTTATTACCAGACACTTCATGTTTGGTCCACAAACAATTTGACTTATCTCATCAGCCCATTCCAGTGACTCTCGTCTGTGACTAGACAGTGCATGTCTGGTTCACAGACAACTTCACTTACCCAAATAGATGAATTGATTGAAGTTATTGTAGAACTTTAAATATGTTTTCATATAATTAAGGAGTATAATTTTTCAATAATTCAGTTAATTCATCCGCTTCAGCTTGAGAATCAATTATAACTTATTAAACTAATTCAACCGCTTCAACATAAAATTAAGAATCTCGTTTAAAATAATTCACTTTGCAGATTAACTTGTTTCAGTCACTATTGTTTATAACTAGACACTTCAAGTCGCGTTCACAGACAATCCCAATTAGCATATTGGGTTGTTCCAGTGGCTATTGCCTGTAGCCGGACATTTTGTGTCTGGTTCACAGACAATTCCGCTTTGCACATGAGCTCATTAGCCCAATTCAGTGGCTATTGTTTGTGGCCAGACACTTCATATCACATTCACAAACACTTTCACTTAGTACATTAGGTCCGTTCAAATGGCTATTGTCTGTAACCAGACAGTTCATGCTTGCTTCACAGGCAATTCCACTATCGTACTAATTGAAAATGTCTGTGAACCTGCTATGAAGTGTTTGGCCACAAACAATAGTCACTTGAATGGGCTAATGAGTTAATGTGATAAGTGAAATTGTCTGTGAACCAGACATGAAATGTCCGGCTACAGGCAATAGCCACTGGAATGAGCAAATGTGCTAATAGGAATTGTCTGTGATCGTGACATGAAATGTCTTGTTACAAACAATAACCACTGAAACAAGTAAATCTGCCAAGTGAATTATTTAACCAAGATTCTTAATTTCATAAACACCTATTGTTCATAGATATAATAGAGAATTGAAAAGAGATTTTTAGGTAAGTTTCTTTTTCATGCAAACCATTTTATTTGGGCATATTAACATAACTTGCGAATAAGAAAATTGAAAGTTAGTTACAACCAACATCATGTATTAATTATCTTTTAGCTATTTTGCAAGATGTTTAACACTTTCATGATTTGCATCTATTAAGTACTTATTTAATAATTATAACGAATACAAACTAAATATCTAATAGTGTATATAACTTACTTCACCAACATTGAAGTGTCACTTTCTTTTTCATTACACAAAAGATACATCTTTCGAAACATAAATCACGCCTAATACAATTCCATTCTAAATGCAAAAACATTAACTTTACAAGCATAAATCCTTTGTTGTCTTTTGGGTTGGAGCAGGTATAGTAGTAAAAAAGATAGTGGAGATTCGACATATTCCCAATCTCTGGAGGAATGGACCCTGCTAATTTTTTCTGTGTAGATACCTGCTGTCAAGAACAATATAATAGTCATGATAAAAGATAACCCGTGATTTAGGAAATAATACCGACAATCAACTTTTATTTTGTTCAAATATCAAGTCCTTATAGCAGCAAACAGTTGAGAATGATACTTATTCAAAAAATGCTCTGTGTACATGCAGACATGCCAATGTGATATGTGGGTGGAATATATGAGTTGCTTACAATTTTTCAGTGCAAGTCAACTTACTCACGATTGGAGGAATGGAACCACTAAGCATGTCGCAACTTAGATCCCTGTATAGACTTATAGTAACATACATAAAATCTGAAAAATTACAAAGAAATATTTCCCTATAAAAAACATGTAGCAAATTCATAATAATCAAAGAATAGGCAATCAAAAATTACTACGGAGTGTATCATAGTCAAATTGGAAAACAGAAATAGTAGAGTCTAAAATTCATTACACACTAATTTACTTTGACAAAAATGAGAACAAATTGATGAATTTGAACAAAAAGTTCATTGAGACATTTCAACAAACATATTATGAGCATTAATGAACTAGAGTAATTATCCTAAAATTTCAATAATTAACACTTCAAATCTCTTATACTAAAACAAATTAAGCAACTATTCAAGATTATAACACACCTAATACACATAAAATCGGAACAAACATATATAAAAAGCAAAGCACACAAGAAAAAAAGGAACTGAATATTACCTTATGATTTGAGAATGGCCAACCGTAGACAAAAATGGACCGTATATGACAATTACATGAGGAGAATGATTGAAAATGATTTAGAAATTACATGGGAGAAAGATTGAAAATGAAAGAATAAAAGGAGAAAGAAGAGAGCATGGTGAGCGCAGATGCGGGAGAATTGAATGAGAGAAGGGAATGACCAAAAGGGAGAGAGAGAGGCAAATGAGTAAAAGATGAAATTGGAATGGTAAAAAAAGAAGAAGTATATATATGATGTACAACTTGTGTACACTTTGTGTACCACAAGCAAAATTGATACATATATTACATAAACATCCACAACATTGAAATATGCAGTCCTATGGGCTCACCCCACCCACCTCGCGAGAAGTCTGTACTCTTATGAACTTCTTGTCCTATCATGTTTCCCTATTTAAACATATATGCATTACAAACTTCACACTTCATACCACACACGGACTATGCACAGACAATTACACTTTAGTTACTTGATGATGCACTATTTCTATCAGGTCAACACGTGTATGTGTAACCTTTATTATTAATGGTGCTCAAACGGCAACTTCGTTTTTCTTTCTCGTGCAACCAAAAAAGTTCTTGAAGACTGATATCGTGTAGCCAATGCAAATTTAAGGCAAAAATCAAGAAAAATGAGAGCATACAAATGATGAAATTTCATTCGCTCATCGGCTCTCCGAAGGACGGCTCAAGTTCTAGAGTTTAATATCGAAAAATGCAACAACGTTGATGTGTAACATCTGAAAACTGTGGTTTGGAGCTCTTATGAATGGTGTTTATTCCCTAGTCTGTATATGGTTCATTTTCTGATGTCAATTCTAAACGCTTATTTTGTTGGAGAGTTCCGCTCAGATCAACAATGCGAATCACCACAGGATGCTATACTGTATTTCAATTGCAAATGTCATCATTATTCTCGACCCAATCATGACAATAACAATACCCCCATCTGAACCTCTGTAATTGATTGAAAGGTGATTCTATATTTTCACTCACACGCTTCAATGCCAAAATAAACATCATTTCCATTCTATATAAGAGCATTGTTTGACTAAACATTGATGACTTATTTCAAATTTATTTGTTTATCGTTTTTATTTTATTTTTCAGTTTCTCTCATTAATGTGCTCTTCATTATTCCTTGTTCATCCGCTTTATTCGTGGTAGAGCCGTAGAGGGGATTTATTTGGTGATTTCAATATAGGTGAATTCCATTAAGAATAATCATAGATTTTCAAAGTAACTCATCATCAAATTGAAGGATATGCTGTCAATCCTGTCAGTAGAGCATGATAACTTCATTTGATTATCTTATATTGGTTAAAACTGTAGATTCATGCCCACACAAAACAGTGAGGAGATGAAATTCCAAAACAGGCATCATCATGAATATACATTAGTACATGAAAAAAATGTCATTCATTTGCACATAACTGCATAAGCAATCACAGAAACGTAGAATTCAATCAGTAGCCTGAGCAATTATTCGTTGTGATTTTTTTGCCCGCATATAAATGAGTTTATTTCACAACACCGAAGTTGTGAGAGGAAAATATTAGACAGACCCCACCTGACCACTACTATCATCAGTATTTCAATTGCCAGTCAGTTCTTTGAATTTAACAATGCAGGCCAGAGCACGATCGAACTCACAATCTTCCAAGGCAAAGGCGAAACGGCAGAAACCTGGGAGCCCAGTCCATGAAGAACTATTGATGCATAAACCGGTGCTCCTGAACATGGATTCCCTTATATTCGAGTCATCAATCTTGGCTTCCCAGGAATTTGAATCTTTATTTACTTTGATAGTCTTGCCAAGGTATGCAGTGGGCTTTGCCACCAAAGAAACACCAGAGTGGGCTTCAAGCACATCCCACCCACAATTTTCAAGGGTCTTGCAAAAAAACAAAAACACATACAAAATTGTAAGCCATGATAGCTCATAAGTCATAACCATGGTGATTTGAAGTACATGTGACCAGTGGTTACAAGGAGCTCGCATATCAAGATATGGACCATACAACACAACATCCAAGCCTTATTCCCAAAAGATTTTGGGGTCGGCTAACATGAATCGATCCATGATATCAAAGCCAAAAAGGGAAGAAAGATAAAAAGAATAAAAAGATAAACTGATAAAGTAAGATAAAATGGATAAGATAAAAATAACATAAGAACATAAGAAAACTAAAAGATAAAAAGATAACAGAGCATAAAAAATATAAATATAACATAAATCAAGATATGGACCATCAGAAGGCAAAATAATTTTTTCTTCACTCAAACCCAGTCTTATATTAAAATAGTATATATGAAGTATGTGAAAGTTGTGCAAATGTAATATATTTTTGTATAAGCAATATACTAAAAGCCACACATATTGTGAACCCCCCTCCCGGCTTACAAAGGCATGTCTGAAATGCTATGTTAAGTATGAGAAACAAGACCTTTTAAAATTGGTGGTGACAGAGGTGGTATTGAAGAACTGGTAGACATTTAGTCTAGGTTTGGACAGCTTATTTTTGTGGTTACCGACCAGATTGTTGGTACCAAACACAGCTCAGGTGACTGCATGGGCTGAATAAGTTGATAATGAAATAATGTAGTGCTAGAGGCACATTTTAGATGCAGTTGGTGAAATGCATAAAAAATTTCATTTTAATTAATCTATTACTAAGAAAACATAGCTCATTTATTTTTTTTGAAAATTATGCAAGTTCGAACATCACATTATAAATAAAAGCATTCAAGTTAGAGCACAAACATACCTCCTTTAGGCGCTGATATTTATTACACAGAATCTTTTGCTGACCTTCCATCACGTCGAGAAGCCCTCTCGTTTTTAGCTCTTTAAGATCCAACAGCTTCTTCACTGTGTACCTTATTGTGCTGTGGGGTTTGCTTAAACCAGATAAGTTATGGAACCCATCAACTAAAACGGGATGGTTAAGAAGCAGAAATCCGAAGGCAAGCCCTCCAGTAAGCATCTTCATAAACAATCCCCCAAGCAGAGAGACACAAAATGACGGATTTGTAGGCCTTAATTTCAACAGTGTGTCCTCCAGGTCCCAACCACCCCAGCTATTGGGGTTGAATTCCACTCCAGAGAATGAAATGTCAAGTACAACCCTTGCTCCAAATTTCGCACATAAGGATAATATAGATTTTATCTCATCACTGCTGTACAGGTGGCCAGTGGGACTCACAGTGGGCCCTGAAATATAGATCCAGGGTTTACTGACCGTCTCCAGTACTCCGCCAAGTATCTTCTCGGTCAACTTAAATCCTTGACAATAATTGGTGGGAATATTTACAACATTTGCCTTAAGAAACTTTGCAGCAGCGACATAATTTCCATTTGAGCCAGATGGGAAGCATATAGTTCCACCTTCCTGGATACAACATAGGACCAACTTATTGAAAAGGGCCAAAGTGCTATCTGAATAAACAAATTCCGTAGTGTGGTTTGTTGGAAAACCATAATTGCTCTTAAGAAGCTGCCTGATGTTGTTCGTCACATCAATTTCTGATTCGGCAACATTTTGTCTCACAAAACTCTCAAATATAGCAGCCTTCACAGGAGTCGCAATGGGCAAAAAGCTCTGATCTAAATCCATGTGAATAGGGACATAACTGTCAGCTTCATTTACAGCCAACTCAGACTGATCAAGGACTGAGACAACAAAACTAGGAAAACCAATCATGTTGCATGCTTTTGCCTTTTCACCTCGTCTCTGAATAAAGCAAAGGCCCAAAGTGATTTAGCACTAACTTCTCCATAGAAGCTTGGAGAAGCTCCAACTAGGGAGAAGAGGAAATTGAATAAAAAAATTGCATGCTAAGAAATATTCACTTGGTGCCAAAAACGAATCTACTTTTTCAATTTTCCATTTTTCTTTGTCATATACCAATTGCATTTGACATTTAAGGCAAAGCTCGTTACACTTTTAAACTTTACTCTTCGATATTAAATGGAAAAAAAAAAACAGAATTTCCCATATTCTTAGCCTCAGATAACTACATTACATAAGGGAATATTAGTTTCGCCTCCACTTAATTGTGACACATATGTTTCTGAATACTACAGAACAATGCTTCCAAATAAGTACCTATTTATCTACACCAAAGGCTATACCAGACACTAAAAAGTTTGTTGTCTTGAGGCCTTGAGCCACTATGTCTTAACCATACCGACAATATTATAGTGTATGTATGCATGCATGCATGCATGCATGCATACACACACAAAGACACACTAACACACACACATGCATACATATATAGTGAATGAGTGAATCCTATTAGATACACTGAAGGGTGAATGTCAGTAAGCATAACGGGGTTGCTAACCTCTAAGGGTGGATGTCGATCAGCAAGCTGAAAGGCTAAAAGTTCATGAAAAAGACAGCCATAATAGTATTGGCTAATTAATGATGTACCCCCTTGCAACAGTTCCACAACCTTCGACAATGCTTTATACATTTTTTCTTCTTCTGATATCACAAAAGCTACCTCAAGATCTGAATAAACCTGAATCAGAAATGAATAAAGATAATTTAAGGATTAAGCCATAATTGAAGACATAAAGCAGTAAGGTAGGGGTAAGGCACACATTATTCACGGAAACCCTTATAAAATCAACAACAACAACAACAACAACAACAACTACGCCTTAGTCCCAAAGGAGTTTGGGGTCGGCTAACATGAATCGAAATATGAAATCGAATCTAAAAAGAAACACTTGTACTATATGACATACAAATTCCGAAATGATCCTTTCACAAGGGAAAGACGGATACCTTATTTTTTAATAAGCCACAAACAATTGCTGCATGTGAAGGAAGAGGAGTCTCAGCAAGATATTTCAGGACACCGTTGGAACTAGGCAGGCTAGATAACTCAAACTGGTCAGATATATCTATAAACAGACGGCACCCAATTTCTTTTGTAGTGTTTAAAAGGAGCTCAAAAGCTGAGCTAGTAACTGATTCAAAATGAGCCATCCCAGTAATTACTAGTTGCGGCTTCAATTTCTTTATCAGTTCAACCATAGAATCTGATTGGCGTGGAGCTTCAATGACAGTTATTTTGTTTTCTGAAGAACCTTCGGCTTCTTTCTTCTGCAACTCAAACCAGATTGCAAAAAAAACGACATTGAACACTCAGACGGCAAGAAGTTACTAAGATGCGCACTTTAGACATTGAGATAACATGGAACACATTGATACAGAATCAAATTGTCATATAGTATACCTCGAGGTTCAGTGATGTTAACCATTGTCTGGGCAGCTGTCGCGACAACTGTTCGTCAACAATGGCAAGACTTGGCAAGAACAATCGAAAAACATTCTCAATAGCAGCTGCTCTTGAAGGAAACACAACAACATTCTAACAAAAAAGAAACCTAATTAGGAATGGAGTCAATGGTTGTAAAATTAGTTTATGCTTACTTTCATGTTTTGTCACAAATTTTGGACAACAGTCAAAGCACAAGCATCTGCCAATGATATTGAAAGACTGATCTAGAGAAGGTAAGTAGATTGGCAATTTATAGAGAAAATGTGCAGTGGAACCTTCCAGTCATAGGTGACTGTTTGAGCAAGCATGGGGAGGAATAAAGGTTATCATCCTTATAGAATAGGCAGGAATGATTAGGAAATAAAGACTTTGACTTCTTTGGTGATGTAAAGTTGGTGCCTGGCTTTAAATGCCAAAATGATTTCCACATGGAAACAGAGTGGCACATAGATTTGACCTCATAGCATTTAACAAAAGGCGAGTTAATAAATAAGGGAAATCGTCAAGGAAATTGTCGTATAGAGTTTAGAGTACTTGACAACTTGTTTATATATTGTAACAGGGGACAGGACATTCATCTGCATAATATAATAAAAATTTATAATTCTTACATCAGCAGTAAGTGGGATGTGATGATATGTCTTCATAAAGCGCGCAATGAGATTTCGAAATCGCTTGCTCCCTGCAGGCGGCTCATATGAAAAACATGCACTCTCCTTTAGAACACTGGCAAGATAAGCTAGGAATGGTATCTTCTCATCTGCAACAGCGTCATCTTCAAATGATAAATCTAAAGAATTGCTAATATCACGGAACCCATTCTTGACGAACTCGAATATCTTTTTGACCTGGAAGTACAGTTGGATCACTATCACCACCATATTCATCGTGATAAGGTTGTCTATTCATTTGAAAAAGGTCTCCATTTATAGAGTACACAATTACAAGGCTTACTTCGTACCTGATTTGGTTGGCGCAGTTGACAACTGTATACAGACAAAGCATGAGAAATCCGACCACCAGATTTGCCATAGGCCCATGCCGTTCGAGCACATATTGGTTGATCTCCAACTAGTCCCATGAAAAACTCAAAGCGGTGAGGACTATTCTTTTCGATCTCAACTAGAGCTGAAATATCTGTGTCAGCAGCCTGCAATACTGCATATCAAAAGGCTGTATATTTTATAAGCACACATACTCATTGGTATAGAACTTGTGTACCTGAAGAATTTTCGTCTGCCAAAGCTTTGTAACATGGAGACCACGGCGCTCAAATAAGCGTTTACAGACACCCTGCCCTGGACGACCTCCCATATTAAAGATCATAATGCCCATTGGTTTTATGACTGAAATTCCTTCTTCAACAGCTCTTGCAATGAGCCCTAAGCCAAACTGGTCCTCGACAAAGCCCTAAATGTACCATGAATTTAAGTAGCCTCATTAATATATTATGTAGTACTTATTGATTCTTCCACACTTAACAGAGACCTCTATGCACTGGGAAGTAACCATTGTCAGAAAACTTGATAATGCTTAAGTATGTGTCACAAATGTGGCACAAAATGTTGTTTTCATTTTTCCAGCATATTACTCTGGAATAATATCAAGCATGTCATGGAAAAACTGGAAAACATTATATTACAAAGTAGTCATGTAACATTAGTACTTTAGTAGTGTCTCTATGATTCGTGGATTTTTTTTTGACAGAGAAAAATAAAATATTATTATCAGTAAAACTATAAATGGGAGAAGATGATGAGGATGTTGTTGGAGCAACAAACATGATCAATGTTATGCTCCACATCAGCTTCAATCATGTTTCTCTGTTACTCAAAACTTGTGCAAAAACATACATATAAATAAAGCACATGAACAACCAACAGCCCGAAGAAGCTCAAAACTCTGCCTCAATATACTTCTTAAAAATATCAAACCAATAAAACAATAAGAAAACAAGTAGTAACAACATGATAGTCTCTTTTTAAAACCCACCTGGAGTACACAGTAGTTGCTCAGAGAAAACAAAAATTCTTCACTAGCATTTTCTGTGATCATCTTTGACATTGCATCTGGGTTTGGGTTAAGAATCTGTATTTAGAAAACAAGAGAAACTTAATTAGATGCTGAATGACTGCACTGCAAAACAAATGAAAATCAGAAAGAGTATCTATTCTCTAGTGACTATCAAATTAAACAATCAATACCTGAGGTATGCATCCAACAATTCTCTCCAGTTCAATGTTATTATCTATGCAATAACCTAGAAGATCAGATTCATGAAATTCAACCCTGTCCAGTAATGTCTTCTTTTCCGCATCATAGATGGGTTCGCCATTGTCATCCAAAGCATTCAAGTAAAGATTTATCCAGGATATCTTTATTGCTCTGGGATTTATATCAAGCCCATAGACCTTGGATTGTATAACAATTTCAGTTATACCAAGAAAGGAATCATGCAACAGATTGTTTTTAACGACACTAAGAAAACAGTGGAACAAGCAGAACGCACACCTTCAGAGGTGACCATTTCTCTGCAATCGCGATGGATATCCATCCATTTCCACACCCAAGCTCTGCAACTGTTTTGTCCTCGAATATTGAATCAGGGTGCCGGTTTAGCCCTTCGTAAAAGGTAAAGGACCAGTCTTCCGGAATAAATATACTAGGAATCAACAACATGGTCAACTTCGTTCTCTTCTGAAAGCCTTCAACGAGAAACATAAAACATTCATCTCCCGAACGCAAAAAACAGTCATGAGTCAACACTTAAAAGTTAAAACAACGCAATAAAATCAAGGACGCAGCTAGCAGACGACAACATCGCCAGTACACGTATTTCGTATGATCTAATACAAAAAAAAAACAAAGTTGCAAAAAGGAATAAGATCCGATGAGACAGAAGAAGAAGGAGTAGAACCTTCGTACTGCTCAAGGAATATGTCTTGAATTTGGAAATGGTACGATTTGAGGCATTGCTCGGAGTTATCACCAGAGTCGAAGCGTTTCTGGAGAATAGAGAGGAAGATCCGAGCCTCCTTCCTGGTAGTCGGATCCTCGAGCCGCTCCAGAAGTGATCGGAGTGCACCGTACGCGGCGTCGCCGGAATGCTCACACTGCTTCAGGAAGTCATCGACCGATGCGCATAACCCCTTCACCGCCATTTCGGGTAGATTTCTTTGACTCTGCACACAGTAGCGCGAGGGGAAGGAGTGTGGAGTTTGCCGTTATATAGCCATCTTAAGATTCGTTTTATGGAAAGAGGGTTGTGGTTTATCACTTGTTCGATTCGAGTTCTCGCATTCCCCACGTCGCGGTTTCCTTGAGTCGTTATTTGTATACGACAAAAGGTTAGACAACTTTAGTTTGCAATACGAGAAAATAAGTGCTCCATGTAGTCATGGGAATTTCCAATTCATCATGCTTCTCCTTTTTTATTAATGGCAGAAGCACAATTTGAATTTTCTGTTACGTGAAAAGTTGATTCTATTTTAAGTAGGTAGATTATATGGTACCTATAAGGTATCATACATTTGTCCACATGGACCAATGAGAATGTTGCAGTTCAATTATTTAAATCTAAATTGAAAATGATAAAGTAATGTGGTCCAATCAAATGAATGATAGGTATAGTACCTCGTTTTTTAAAAGGGTACCGGAGTTGTCACCTTTTAAGTATTGATATTGATTTTATTGTATGGAATAAGAAATTCATTTCAGTTAGTGGCGGTGTTGTGAAAACCGTTTTTAATTATGGATTTGTATTTTGAAAGGATTTAGGGCTTGTTTGCAACCAATTAAAAAAAGTGATTTTGGCTTTTTTTTTAAAAAAAAAGCACTTATTTTTCCAAACACTACCAACTTTTATTTCCTCGATTTTCGTGTAGAATCTACTTTTTACTCTTTCTATTACACAAAAAGCACTTATTTTACCAAACACTACCAACTTTTACTACTAATCACTTTTTCCCCAAAAGTGCTTTTATTCAAGCACAAGTGGTTGCAAACAAAGCCTTAAATTGATATACCATCAATCGTCGGCACTCGAACCAAACTTAGAGTCAATTATCTTCAAATAAACAATATGACTCATTGATCCTATATTAGGCATAAATGAGTCAAAAGACGGTCCAAACAGACCTCTCATTATCCAATCATAATGCAAGAGTCACAAAAATATAAATAAACAAAAAACATAAACAGCGTGATCAAGGAAAATAACAGTAATGAAGGCAGTAAAATAAACCTTCTGCTCCGTCCTCAAGAACACAAGAGCCTTTCACACTCCAAATCAACAATAAGTCTCTTTCAGAAATCTCGGCGGGTCTGTAGTCTGTGACTCGTGCCTCCCCGTCTTTGGCTTGTCAAGAGCCATGTTATCACCACTTGGATCCTCCTGCGCTTCTGGTCACCCGGCACCTCCTCGGTACTCACTGAGTCTCCTTCCTTTGTCGTGCTCTTGTCCGAATTTGACGTAATAACAATCCAACCTTGTCTTCCTGCGCCCACTCCGCTCTAAATGTCACTCTTCTGAGTTGCCCCAAACATGTGCTTGAATTGTCTTTTACTAACCACTTATTTCCCCCTGTAGGACCAGCCTGCCCCCCCCCCCCTACTCAGCTCTAAGCTCCACCCCATTAGATTTTTCCAACACCATATTATCCCCCTCATATGTCAAAGGATAAAACATATCGGCATAGCCAATGGCCCCGCATACAAAACAAAAACTAAGGAACTTTTCGTATTTGAAATCTACGAGTAACCAACTACCTCTTTCCTAAGAGTTGTTCTCCTTTTCAGAGGTTTTCCAATTTCCATACAAATCCTAATCTGCAAAAAAGCATACCAGTTTCCTTCAAACTGTTTTCATCAAAACTAATAAACTTTCCAATAAAATTATCAACCCTCATAGCAGTAAGAGACATATAAGTTCATAAAACCATAAGAGACATTATGCACCTGGACCCATAAATCAACCTCATTTAGGCTAACCTTGAGGGGAATATCCCTTGGCCTAATTTCCTTGAGGATCAACAAATTCCTTTCAAAAATCACGAACCACTTTCTAATACACGTCTCATATCCACAATACGGTAAAAAGTGAAAAGATACCTCGTTTCGCCTATCTCTTTTATTGAAACACCTTTGCCTGGGCGCCATAGAGAGGCCATAAGATCCTTGAAAATCTGAAATTTTATCTTCCGATCTGTAAGTAGGGTGCAAACCACCGGAAAGACCGTTTGTCGCTCGTCTGCCACATCCTCGTCATCATCAAAGACCAGCTCCTCTTAATCCCCTCCAAGAGCCATGTTGTTATACTGATTGACTATATCCTCCATTAGACACCTTCGCTACTTGCTCGACCAAAACCCGCCACGAAAAGCCTCATTGCCATCTTGTTGCCCGGAGCCGCACTTCTTCTAGTACGAAGTGGAAGATTCACGATTCCTAGATTAGAGAGACGCCTGCTTGCTCGACCCGAAGGCCAGTTATGGAAGTCCCAGCTACCTTCGATGTGCCCGTAGCCGCACCTCGTTTAAGACGAAAGCAAAGAAGTCACAAACCGTATTATGAGTTTAGTAACCACAACATTGGACTGAAATACAAATGCCAAGTTGATATGTATGTGGAAGAGTAGTTGTAAGGTGCAATCAACACTTGGAAGGTCTAGAACACATTTAAACAACCTATTAATTTAAAAAGATAGTCAATAATGATTTGTTACTAGTTAAAGAACTAGTAATAATGATTTTCCAGTTTTATTAAAATAGAAGTATTCCTTTCCCTACGGATACGAACCTTACTACGCTAATACTACGTATAAGTGTTGTATCGATATTTATTTTGAGTGCACATCACGACAAAGTGCACGTCACTGGGAAGTTGTGAAGGTGAGTGAGAATTGTAGTGTGTATTGGGAGCTGAATATAAAAGGTGACACAAGATATATCTTGGTTTAGAGGTGGTGTAATCCTCCTACATCCAGTCCCAACCTATTTCAGATGGATTTCCACTAAATGAATATCCCATTATATTTAGTGCACAATCTATCCTTGGCCCAGGCATAGATTGTGAGGTTTTACACAAGGAATTTGAACACCATTCCAAGTTACTCAGTCCTCCAAGGTTTTCACTAATGGCATTGACTTGCCAGAAGCTACTCATGCCCTTATCCTTCTCACCTTCTGGATTTGAACACAAAGCCCTTCAGAATGTCTAACACTAGTCTAGTTTACATGGGTGAAAACTAAACTACCAACTAATCTAAACTCTATAGATTTGTATGAATTTGAGCTAATCTAAGATCTCTAGATGAGTGGGGTGGAAACCAAAATGGTGAAGGTGAATCAGCACCTGTTTGCTTGATGTGGTCGAGTGATTCTTGACTCCCTTCTTTTCCACTTGGCTCCCCCATGGTCTTCCCGCACTCCTTCTGTATTTATAGACTTGTTGTTGAATCTCGACTGTTGGCTAAGGAGTTCAATCTTGATCGTTGCTTTGATCCATTTGCTTTGTTCTACTTCACTGAGGACAACATGGTTATTCTGTCTTTTTGTGACACGGTCCAAATCTTACTCAACTTGCATTCCTCTTCTCAATGAACAATATAAAAGAAGCTAAGTAATATTGTTTATTCTTATATTTGAAGAGTTGAGTATATAAGTTGGGTATTGTTCAAAGCTTCCTTACAATAAAATCACTTGCTTTTAGTAAAATAAATTTATAAGAAATTTTCATAATGTGGTAAAACTTTCTTATAAAATTACTTTCTATCTTTTTTCATTTTGACTGCAACTTGGTCTTTTGTTTAATTGATTTTGTGCTTTGAGAAGAATAGTCTATTTCGGTTTGCCTATTCTGGAAACTTAAATTGGCAGTCGACTGAAGTGATTTTCAGTAAGCAGCTGACTTATGTTTTTCAAATGGCTGCCGATTTAACAAGGGTTTCAGTTGACTCTTTTCGTGTTTTTTCTTTTTTTTTATTGTTTTCTCTTTTTTGGTACGTTTCTTCTCTTTTAGTACTTTTTTGCTTTTTATGAGTACTTTTCTTTTTCACTAAAAGTAGCATATTACAATAAACAAGGTAGCACATAAAGTATGATCTAGTCTAATACAGGGATCATAAAAAGGAGTGACATCATCCAAAACTATATACTACCTATATTTTAATCATCATAATCTGGGGACCAAACAAACATGTCACTATAGTAATATAGTATGGTACAACCGGGGCATGATCTGAGTCTTACATAAGCAGAAATGCTCAGGTCCATCCGGAGGGACGGGAGGCTCCGTCCGAACTTTACTGTTTGAGGCGGTTCCCGGTGTAATTTTTTGATGAAATGTTTTGAGCATGTTCCTCATCAAGTCTAGTTTATCCATACCAAATTTCAGCTCAAAATTCGATCTGGAAGGCATTCAAATAAGTTCTTGAAACTTACTGCACATTATATGTGCGCAGAATGTGCAATATGTTTCAAGAATTTATTTGAATGCCTTCCCGATCGAATATTGAGCTGAAATTTGGTATGGATAAACTAGACTTGATGAGGAACATGCTCAAAAAATTTCATCAAAAAATTCCACCGGGAACCACCCCAAACAGTAAAGTTCGGACGGCACTTCCCGTCCCTCCGGATGGACCTGATCATTCCTCCTTACATAAGTATATATGATGCGTGAAGTCTTGTTTTTAGAAGTCTTCCTCTTTGACTATTATTTTAGACTAGACAAGTTTCAAAGTCGTCGTGTGACTGTCTTCCACCTTATATTTTATCCTTTACTTTTTTCCATGTTTATTTTGCGACCATGAAGTTTATAATTTCCCACCATTCTCAGTCTTTATATTTTATACTAGTTTTTTTGCATACGCAATGCACGACTAACGACTAAGTAAATGTCCAATGTGACAATAGTAAAGTTTTTAAAGTACATGATATTGTTATTTGATATGTTTACTTTCTTACTTCGGGTGTTGTTTAGATGTATTTGTTGATGAATATACTTGAGTTGTGATTATTGAATTTCATAAAGGATGAATATTTTAGTTTACGCTACATTATATTGGATAATGGATTATAGTAAATATTTTACATTCGTAGGATGTCGTAGACTCATAGGTTGGATGTCGTACGTAATGTTTTATTATTTTCCCATGTTGAAACCTTCATATATTCCAGGTGTG